GGGGACTGTTTTCGCTCCCCGGGGGGTGCTGGGCCCGCCGCACCGGGGCCGCTGCTGAGGACCGGCGTAGCTCATCGCACGCACCCGCCGCGCCTTCTCCTTCCTTGGGGGTGGCTTTGTTTTTGTGCGGGTCCCTGCTGTGTCTTGACCCAGACTGCTGGCCGCTACTGGGGCTCCCTGGAGGGATCCCGTGGCCTTCGCTGCACAGGGAAGCTCTGAGAGGAGCTCCCGGCCGGCACCTGATGCAGCTCATGGCGTGTCAGGGTTCCCTCAGAGCGCTGCTGAGGCCAGGCACGGCTCATAGCTTGTCAGGGTTCCCTCAGAGCGCTGCTGAGGCCAGGCACGGCTCATAGTGTGTCATAGTTCCCTCAGAGTGCTGCTGAGGCCAGGTATGGCTCATGGCATGCCATGGTTCCCTCAGAGCACTGCCAAGGTCAGGCACGGCTCATAGCTTGTCACGGTTCCCTCAGAGCGCTGCTGAGGCCAGGCACAGCTCATGGCATGCTCTGTTTGTTGCTGAGCCCAGACTTTACCTTAAACTTCATCTGCGGCCTGACGTTGTGTCTCACACCCTGCCTGCTCCAGAGGGAGCTCCCCTCCTGTGGCATCTCTCGTCAGCTCGGCTTGGTTACAGAAATATCAGGGGGTCGATAAAGATCTCTGCGTGTGCTGGGGCAGGCAAGCAGCTCTCCGCGATGTCTGCTGAGCACTGACACACTTCGTTGTAGGCATCAGCGTGGGTGTGAGGGGAGTAAACCCTCGCCGGGTGCGTGAGGGGATATGGGCACATGGCGGGAACACGGAGGGGCATCAGGAGCTTCACCCGGTGGTTTTGGTTGGCGAGAGAAAGGTGGAAAGAGGACCGCGACTGTTCCAGGCTGTTTCTTTCCTCTGGCATCTGTTGCCTTTATTTTGTGGATGCGTTTCTTGAAGAGCTCCGTAGGTGTCCGTTCCCCGCCGGGCAGGAAGGGGTTTTAAATGCCAGCAAACAGCGACAAGCGGCTGCGTGGCTGCCAGCGTGGGCCGGGGACGAGGAGGAATGTCTCTAAGACCTCGTGTTTGACATGGTGCCCTGGAGAGAGGCAGTCTATGGTAACATCAATCCCCAAACTGTTTAGGGCTGTACGTGCTGTAGTCACTGCCGGTAATCACGGTGCATCAGAGTGGAACGAGAGCCACCTTGTTCCCATCTGTTGCTGCCTGCTGAGGTCCAGGTGGCCTTCTCCTCGCTGCAAGTTATTGAAGGTCTTCATTGTCGAGGGACCTGGCTCTTCACTGGGCTCCCCAAGCCATGCTGGAAAGGGCCGGAAAGCTCCGCCAGCAGCGCTGCCTTGGGCTGCAGCCTTGTGTCCTCTGCAGGTTAGCAAAGAAACCCGGCGCTGGAAAGAATATCCTTGGTTGTCAGCGTGGGAATGCTGGAAAGAAGGGCTGCGGTGGGAAGGAGAATGAGGTCTTCTGTGGTGCGAGAGGATGCCTCTGCCCCTCGGAAATGCCCAACACAGTATTGTGTGGGGGTACCTCACGGCAGCTTTTAGCCTTTCGTTTAGAGGATCCACTTGTGCTGGATTTTTTAAGGCTGCATGTACAATAGGGGCCTGTATTGCGATATAGTTCAATATGAGGATCTCTGTGTTTCTTTTCAGTGGAGTTTTCAACCCCGATAGTAAATTTAAATCTCCTGACTATGGGCTTGCTCTTCTTAGCCCCCTTTTGCAGCCCCCAGGCGTCTCTAGCCCACAGGTGTGAAAACCATTGCTCAGGAGAATTGAATTATTCCTGAGTGAACTCCTGGGGTAGAATTAAGTTCATCCCCAGTGGCTTTGTGCGTTGTAGCTGTGTTGTTTGCTCAGTTGTGCTCTCTAGGAACCTCACCCCCTGCTCCTGGCGCAATACCCGGCGGAAACGGATGATGGGAGGTTTTTGGAAAAGCACACTGTGGCGTCTGCGAGAGGACAAGTGAACTTTCTGCTTTCACATCAGCAACCTTTGTCCGTGGTGGGACAGAAACCGCATGGGCTGAAATAGCATTTAACCCTGCTGAAGTCATGTCTGTTCAGCATTTCAGTGTGCACGGGTGCTGTTTGCAGAGGGATTATTTTTTATCCATGGCTGGGAGGTGTTTTCAAGTGTGCCAAGAAGATCAAAACATTCCTAGATCGCTGCTTAGAAGTTTCTGTGTTGCAGACAAGGTTGCAGTGTTCAGCTTGGTGGGTCTGAGTTCATTTCATTGCTACTTTCAAGGTATTTTCAAAGTGGGTAGCTGTGTGTCTCCTAATATCCAGGTGCATGTCTTTTCCCCGGCACTCAGCTCTTGCTGGCAGCAATTTCCATGCCATTTTAGATGCTTCTGCATAGTGCTAAGTAATTGTGTGTTTTACAAATGAGTTGGTTTGTGGCAGTTGGTTGCCACGGTGGAAAGCCCGCTTTGGGTAATTTCTGTAGACAATATATTGATTGTTTCACTAAAGCAAGAGGAACGCTGTACCCTTGTTTTTTCCCCATCAACAGGTACAATAACCCTTCCTTGAGGTGCTCATTTCGCTTAAATTTGCACTCCTGGCAATGGCCTAATGCCTTGTTTTTTCCTGAACGCAGTATTAAATATGAGTGTGGTCAGCTCATGCTAATTACTTTATCCTCCAATATCTTTTTGCACATAGATCTTCTTGCCTCCAGTAACTTCTTTGCTCATAACCCACCTGAAATGCAAGAGAGCTGTTTGTCAGCAAGATTTTCTATTTTTTTCATTTGATGATCAAGTTGCCTTTATACCCTTATTTTTTAAATTATTTTTTCCTACTGATAGAAGCTGTTGGAGCTTGGCTGGGACCAGTGCAATTGGGTGTCTGCAGTCTGCTGATTGAATGGCTGATTACAGTTTTAAGGCGAAGGTCCCGAAATTCGTGGTACCTGTATTTGCAGGTGGAAATTTTCCTCTGAAATTAAATTGTGCCTGCAGGCTCCATCGTTGTGGGTGTGCGTACTGAAACTGGCACCTGCAGCTTATTTCTCTGACTGCAAAGGAGAGTTTGGAAACTTCCAAAGCCTGTTTGTTTCTTAGGACACATGTTATATCATGGCTTAATCTCTTGCTTCACAGAGCCAGTACTTTAAAGAAAAATGTGTTGCTCCTGGAATTTGTTACCTCTTTTTGGAATAAGCTCGGGACTTCTTGTTAGGTCCTGGTCCTGTGAGGTGCTACTTGCTCTGACTCATCTGATTGAGGGTTTGTGGAGTTATGTCCTTCACAGAGCAGAAATAATGCAACGGCTAAGTACAAATTACAGGTTTGTAGTGTGTTTTCTTGTCTGCGGGTCCCACAGAAAGGGGCTGACAGTGTGTATTGCTCTAAATAAGGGTGAGGTGCTGGTTCAGGCCTCTGCGTAGCAGCAGATAAGCTCTGGGCTGACTTATCTTCTCAGGGAGATTTTACATTTGCTTTTCTTTGTCTTCTCTCCGGCTTGTTTCAGCCTCAGCTTGTTTCTTCCCATAACTCATGTTCCCATCCCTGACGCTGCCCTATTCACTTGCATTACTCACTTGGCTTACTCTTCGCTGCCTCCCTCCTTCGCCCTCAGATCATCGGGCTCCTGCCGCCGCGTCTCCATCCTCCCCCAGCTCACTTCGCCGGCTCCAGTCTTCTGCTCCGCTCCCCCTCAACGGGCACCTCCTTAATGTCAGGGGCCGACTCTCAAATAATTATCTGGGTTGCTGATTAGCAGTTTGTGAGGGCAGAGCTGGCTTGGGCTTTTCGTTAAGGCTCTGAGTGAACACTGCTCTGCGGTTCCTGGTGCAATCCAGAAGCTGTTTTGCTGCTTTCCTGCTCGTACCCCTGTGGACCTTCCATGCAGAACCAGCTTAGGTGCTTGAACGCGGATTGTGGCTCCAGAGGGGCTAACGCTGAGCCAAAACTAGTAAGTTGTTCTGGATGCGTGCTATTTGTTCTCATGCTCACTCCCCTCTGCTTCCTCATGGATCCCAGTGAGGAGCAGAAGGGATGCACATCTATCGGCCACTGCGTTGCTCAGTTCATCGTCTGGTTCTGTTTGGGCTTTTGGGAAGGACACAGTCCATTCAATGCACACTGGAGAGTGGTGCAGGGAACAGCTACAACTGCAAGAGAAGGGAAGGCAAAGCTGGAGGATGATTTTTCGTTATGGGACTTTTGCATCTGCAATGAGGGAGCACTGCTAGTTTTCTCATATGGAGTTCAGTGACAAAAAAAAATAGGGAACTGCTTTCACAGGGCAGGAACTGTGTTTTCTTTTCTGTCTGGAAAACATCCAGCACATTTTATGTGCTATTGGGGATATAAAAGAAAAGCTGCAGGCAAAAGAACAGAGAAGAACTCCTTGGCTTGTGTGAACTTAGTATGTGAACAGTGCAAGCAGGTGTGATAAGTGCTGTTTGAATTTTGGGGGATCTGAATGGTTTGCTGAGCTGAGTGCACAGCAGACTCTTTGGGTGCTATGCCCTAAAATATATTTCAGCTCTTCTCATCCGGTGGTATGGGGGGCATATACATCTCCTGGCATCCAAATAGAGAAGGTTGGAGGGTGCTGTGCATTGCTGTGACACACATTTCAAGAAATGGTTGATATATTTGTTACCTGCTTGTGTGTAAGAGGGTGAAGAGGCCTCAGCAAGCCTGAAATTGCTGGAGAGTCTGGTAGATATGTTGCTCTATTGCAACACTGAGCGAGTTTTTGAATGTGTGCTGCTCCTTGCTTGTCTCCTTGGCTTACACTGTCCTCCGTCCTGTTTTGTTACAGGGCCTCTGGACTGCAGCAATGAGGAAGCCTCGGAGGAGGTCCCGGCAGAACTTGGAGGGGAGGCGTTCTCCCTCGCCCTACAGCCTCAAGTGCTCACCGACTCGGGAGACCCTGACATATGCTCAGGCCCAGCGGATCGTGGAGGTAGACATCGATGGGCGGCTTCATCGCATCAGCATCTATGATCCTTTAAAAATCATCACAGAGGACGAGCTGACTGCCCAGGACATCACAGAGTGCAACAGCAACAAGGAAAACAGCGAGCAGCCCCTTTTCCCTTCCAAATCTAAGAAAACACCTTCCAAAGGCAAGAAGAAAGAACCCTGCTCCAAACATGCACCAGGGATGTCCTTACACTTACCCCAGCCCAACTTCCGCGTGGTGGACTTCTGCAGCCAGCCAGATGCTCCTCCCCTCCCTGCCGCCTACTACCGGTACATTGAAAAGCCTCCTGAGGACCTCGATGTAGAGGTGGAGTATGACATGGATGAGGAGGACCTGGCCTGGCTGGAAATGGTGAACGAGAAGAGAAGGGATGATGGTTATGGGACAGTTTCTGCTGACGTTTTTGAGCTGCTGGTGGACCGATTGGAAAAGGAGTCATACCTTGAGAGCCGGAACAATGGGGCTCAGCAGTCCTTCATCGATGAGGATGCCTTCTGCTGTGTCTGCATGGATGATGAGTGTCACAACAGCAACGTCATCCTGTTCTGTGATATCTGCAATCTGGCCGTGCACCAGGAGTGTTATGGCGTGCCCTATATCCCTGAGGGGCAGTGGCTTTGCCGCTGCTGCTTACAGTCCCCTTCTCGCCCTGTGGATTGTGTCCTTTGCCCAAACAAAGGTGGAGCCTTCAAGCAGACCAGTGATGGCCGCTGGGCCCATGTGGTCTGTGCCATCTGGATCCCAGAGGTCTGCTTTGCAAACACTGTGTTCCTGGAGCCTATTGAAGGGATAAATGACATCCCCCCAGCTCGGTGGAAGCTCACATGCTATATCTGCAAGCAGAAGGGCATGGGAGCTGCTATCCAATGCCACAAGGTGAACTGTTACACTGCCTTCCATGTCACCTGTGCCCAGCGGGCTGGTCTCTTCATGAAGATCGAACCCATGAGGGAGACCAGCATCAACGGCACAACGTTCACTGTGCGCAAGACTGCCTATTGTGAGAGTCATTCCCCACCTGGGACAGTGAAAAAAGGGACTCCAGCTGCTAGTGGTGAGGGGCAGGAGGACACTGTGAAGGAGGAGGGAGAGGAGGAAGCCAATTCTGGCCCTCCCAAAGGGTCTCTGAAAAAGAACCAAGTGAAATTGAAGCAGAAGATCAAAAAGGAGCCTGGTGACGTGACCAACGGGCGTTCGTCTGTGCCCATGGTGACAGTTGCACAAATTCCCTCTTACAGGTGAGTGTTGTAGGCGGATGGGAAGGAGCTGGACAGCTGGAGCTGGTCAGGGTCTGTTTTGAGGACTCAGTTCCTGTCGTTGTTGAACTTGGAAGCGCTGTGTCCGGTCAAGACCTAGCAATAACTGTGTTCAAAGCCTGCTCTGCAGAATCATCCCTGACCAGTGTTCTTCCACATGAGTGTCGCTGGCACACTGGTTTTCCTGCTTTGCCAAGCACTTATCCCAAACTGTCGTGTAACGCAGAATCCATGGTGGTCTGTAATGGCAAACATCCATCTAGCATCTGAATTTATGTAGATAGCTGTGAAGGTGTTTTTAGGCATTACAAGTTGGCAGGTGGATAGGGGTCATCCTGCTTTTTTTTTTTTTTTTTAATCTCATTTTGTAGTATCTGAATTCCTCCTTTTATTACAGAGCATATCAAACTCATCAGTGTTGCAAACAGCTTTGAATTTGGCTGTGTTTTTTTATTTTTTCTCCCAGCTCTCTGTCATGCAGAACTAGATAGTGCTGAATTTTCATTTGGTGCCTGAGGAAGTGTGGTGATGTGCCGCTGGTATTTTAACAGATAAGCTTTGGAAAACTGCTAATAAGGCACCACATATAATATAATAAATGGTTTGAAAAGTTTAAAACAGGTGCTGTATTGTTGTTGGACTCCTGTCACATTAATTTCCCAGACTTCAGCTTAATAACATCAGACTTCAATGACTTCCAAGAAAATTCTTGACACTGAAAGTAGTTTTGAAATTAAGTCTGGGGAATTGGTGATTGCGTACTTTGTGTTGTCGCAGGTGGTGCTTGGTGAGAACCTCCAGCCAAGCTGCTTTTAAAATAGGGTTATATCTTGTAAAGTAGGCACATACGTCTTTGCGGTGGGGAGATCCTAGATTGTACCAGTTGCATGTGTAGTTCAGAGCGTGCGTTGACACAGCACTGCAAAGCTTCGTCGGGAAACCTGCTGGTATCACCAGGGTCTGCAGAGCCATGGTAGCTTTGCAGTTGGCTCCATGACACCTCTTTGCTTCCTTCAGGCTGAACAAAATCTGCAGCGGCCTCTCCCTCCAAAGGAAGAACCAGTTCATGCAGAGGCTCCACAACTACTGGCTGCTGAAGCGGCAGGCGAGGAACGGGGTGCCACTGATCCGGCGCCTGCACTCACACCTCCAGTCCCAGAGGAACGCGGAGCAGGTACTGGTCCCCGACGGAACCCGCATGGGAGGATGGAGAGCTTGCATTCCAGGGAAAGATGTGCTTGATGCATGTCTGGGAAGGGGGGTGAGGGTGAAAGGATCAGAAGGTGACCTGATTTAAGTCTCTTTTGGTCTCCTCTTGGTATGCTCATGCCTGAAGAGCTGAGTTAGTGTATCAGTGGGATGTCCATTGTGCCACTAGAATTGGTGTTGATGCGCCAGCAGGTAAGAGTTTTCCCCCTGAGTCAGGAGACCCAGTATTGTGCAAGGATGTGATGGGCCTTTGGTGGACTCATCTCTTAGATGAATCATAAAACCACGTTCCTCATGAGTGATTAAAGATCCCCTCCTTGAGAAAATGGGTGTTAGCTCCAGAGTCCTGGCCAAATTCCAGTTTGGGTCATTCTTCCTGCTGTTTCAATTTCTGACCCTCCCATGCACATTCATATGGAAGTTTAGACATAATCATCAGCTCTGGACTCCTTTGCTTCCTCCTCTGAGCTGGCGTCCGGAGTCCCTTGATGCTGTTGAACAGCACTGCGTTTGGCACGAGTAGTAGTTGGTGAAGTAATGAAGCAGTCAGACTCTACCCTGTAACGTAGCCTGTCAGTAGGCATTGTGCACGTTGTGCACGTATATTTTTACTGTAGCTGGAGGAATTTATAGGCTTTTGGTTTGCATGAAGACTGCTATGAGTGATTAATAAAGAAAATATTTCCCACTCATCAGTCTGGAGCTTGGGGAAGTGCAACGTTTCCTTGGTGTATTAAGTTGGCAATTTACCGTAAGTAAGTTCTTAAAAACGGATGTCCTATAAATACAAACCATCAAGATCTTGTGAAGAATTGTCCCCTCTTGGCAATCGTGTGAAAGTGTGTGTGCTTCAGCTATATCCTCAAAACCACTGGAAAAGCTACAGATTTAGGAGAGGAAGGATAATTGCGTTGGGAAGCCACTAAACTGTGTCTTGGAAGGTGTGAGCTCATCTCCCAGCGTTGGCTGTTCCTTTGTGTTTTGGTGAATCTCTTTCTGTGGCTCTATTTCGTATTGGTTAGGAAGAAGATAATAATAGCTCTTTTCTTCCATGCGTTTGCTTGCCTTGCGAACGCTTTGGGCTGCCTCTTCCACGCACGGCAGCCAACAGAAGGAATTTCCAGCCTCTGTAATGAACTTGGATATAAAAGCAGGGAAGGGTGGATATAAAAGCAGGGAAGGGTGTAAATGAGCATGCACTGAAGCATGTTCCTGGAGTGTAGCTACAGTATGATCTAGGCCTAACTTCATGGATGGCATAAAATCCAGAATGGCTGATGTTGTGTTTGTTGGACAGCTAAATGCTCTAGGAAAGAGGACACATAGTCTGAACAGGAGACGAATAGAGGGGAGGAAGACTACAAGAGCAATTCACAGGGGATGCCGAGAAAGAGGACAAAGCCTGTTTTTCATCTCACCCCACTGTTTTGTTTTACAGAAGGAGCAGGATGAGAAGACCAGTGCAGTGAAGGAAGAGCTGAAGTACTGGCAAAAACTGCGGCATGACTTGGAGCGGGCACGGCTGCTCATCGAGCTGATCCGTAAGAGGGAAAAACTCAAACGGGAGCAGGTAGGTAGTTTTGGCTGTGAAGTTGCTGCACTTAGCTTCGGTCCCATGCAAGCACCCTGTGCTGCAGGAGGCAGAGGAGGAACACGAAAGCCTTTTTTTCTTGAGCCTTTTCCCCTTTTCATAGAGTCTGCTTTTTGGATGTGCAGAGCAGCCATCTCTCCTGGTGTCAGTCACAGGCTCGTGCTGCTCAGCCTCTGCACTCAGAACCAGGGCTGGGCTGCAGAGCGCTGGGAAAATGTATTTGCATAACTAACAGTGGATTTGATTCCTGCCCTACAGCACCCCTTCTCCTTCTGGGCATGGACCCGGTGTTTTGCAGAGTAGAAGTCAGATCTCTTTTAGTTTGGTAACATCTATTCCAGAGAGAGGTCTAAATCACAATTCTGCTCTTCATTTCTAAAGTTAAAAGTTTCTGTGTTTTGCCTTCTTAAAAGGGCAATTATTTTTGAGAAGAAGCAGTTTTTTAAAATGGAGACCGTTTACTAGTTTCCTCTTCGATCCGCGTGCAATTCTCCAAAGTTGCACCAGTTAAGGTTATTTCCCACGCTTGCCAGCTTTGCCTGTTGAGGGTCTTTCCTTGCCATTCCTGGCTGGATGGTGCAGCCACGACTGTGCTCTCTGGCATGAGTATCTTCCAGGACAGCTTCATAAAAGACTCTCCCCATGCAGGGTGAGCCTGCGCACCTGGCCTCAGGCACTCTCTCCCCACTGCTCAGCTCTCCGGCTGTCTGCAGGGAGCCAGGCAGAGGGAAAGCAGCATCCTCTGTGATCGCAGCCCCTCTGCAAGCTATGTTTTTTGTGGCCAGAAACTGCCCACAGCTTTTCTGGTGTCTTTTTGATGCCAGCGCTGGTTGCTTTGCTACGTTGTCCCTGATTACAGCAGTAGCTCAGTCCTGCTTGCTGTGTGGACATATTTTAGGTAGGAGGATCAAAAGAGAAAAAATTACTCTTGAGGTTTGTTTCTGTTTGCTTGTGATATCTTGATATATCCATATTGCAGTTGGCTAAATCCATAAAAGCTTGTTGAAACTATGGTGTGCTTTATAAAAGGATACGGGTATCTAGTTGGAGCTTTGTCCCAGCCCAGCTTTTAGCTGAAGGATGCTCCAGAGCTGAGAGATGCTCCGGAGTCCTCAGCCTTTGTTTGGGTTCTTTCCTGTTTTGGGGGAAGAGTGTGGTCTTTATATCCGTCTTCATTCATTCTCTTGTTGCTGCTGTCTTGTTGCTGAGCACATCAAATACAGTTTGCTTTATGTAAACAGACTTGCTTTCCTTTGCTACTGAAGTGGTTGATTTAACGGCATAATGAGGGATTATAAGATCAAAGAAATTAAAACGTTAAAAGAGAAAGAAATACTTCTATGCAGTTCCAGTCTCCTTTGAGTAGAGTTTCAGTGTAAGAGATCAAACTGGTACTACAACTTGTTTGCTTGAAATCAGACAGTATTAGAGACTTCATAAAGGATGTAAGAAACTGTGTCAGGAATTTGCAAACATCTAACCACTGTTGTTATTTGGCTTCTGCCTTGAAGTGCGAGAGCTTATATCTTAAACTTTGTTTATGCTCGGTAGTCTAATTATGGATGTTGTTGTTCATGTAGACGCCTACATACTTTTAACTTTTTTATAAGGTTGCTAATTGGCATAATAATATCTTGAGGCAGGGAGTTCTACAGGATAATTTACAAGGCATGAAAAGGTTCTTCCTGTTTTCATTTTTAGTTGTATTATCTTTTAATTTCATGGGGTTTTCTCTTGTTTTGGCTTTGTGAGATCGGGTAAACAGGAGTTCCCCATACAAAAGGATTGGACTGTGCAGTTAGACTGCGAAGTGCTGTCTGCCAGTGTGCATCCTGCACGTGGAGGCGACAGGGTGTTTGCCACAAATTCTTCAGCAGTGAGTTTACCAGACCAGTGGTATGATGACCTGAGGTTTCCATCACTGAGTAGAGCTGGGGTGATGATTCAGGAGAAACCGGAGGGAGACACCACTCACATACCCTGTCCTCGATAACTGTGCTTATCGCTGTTTTCCCGTTCC